TTAGATTGATAACCTTTATGTGTTTAAAAGCCTTTCATTAGAAGTGTTGCTTAAATTCGAAGTGTAGTGCTTAAACCGAGAAGTCTCGCATGGGTTGTAAACCTTCGGACCGCAAACCCTCGGTTCGCAGCCGAGAACATACTTTGGACCGCAAACCCTCGGTTCGTAGCCGAGAACTCCCTTCTGACCGCAAACTTCGGTCTTATCCACTCGGTGCGAAAACCAATGCATGTGTCCCATCATTGATTTCGGTCCTATACGTATGGGGAGACCGAAAACACTTCCCTCACTTCTACTATTCTAGCCGAAAACACACTTTTCACTCTCAAGAACTCCAACCGAAAACCCCTATTTTTCTCTCAACTATCATCCGAATTCGACTTGTATCACCTTCGGATCTTGCTTAGAACACCAAGTGTTCTTCCTTTCATCAAGATCCTCAACCGAAAACCCTTGAATCTCCTTGGTTTCACCAAGAACACCAAGATCTTCATTAGGCCAAAAACCCAAGAGGCTGGCCGAAAACTCATTACAGCCTTCCAAAATCACTTCAGACATTCTTATTTTGTAAGTGAAACTTACAAATTAGTCCATTTCCTTAACGTACTTGCAGTTATATTCAATAATAATATACATATATATATTACGTGAAATGCTTTTAGGACTCGTTTTTGTCTCGGGATCTAACTTGTGGAAAACTTCCTATATCGAACCTTCAATCGAATCACTCACTTAAGGTGAGTTCATACCCCTACAATTTACCTTTTACAATGTTTTTAGGGGGGGGGGGAATACAAGTAAAACACAATAGAATTGTGTTAACTCTTACATATGAAAACAAACAAACAAAGAATTTATTATGCTTACAGATATTGTTAAAAATCATTTTCAAACTCTTTTAAACTATTTTAGATTTCTGTTTATTATCAAAATCATATTCATTTGGATATTTGTGTATAATCATGCTTTAACGGACTTAGGACTATTGTTAAATACCTTGACTCATGTTCCTTGTTTGGTTGTGGGCTTAGGGTAAGAACACTAGTCTGACTGTCAGTTAAATCATAATTATACATGCTAAATATATACATGAATATTAAATCTCATTTTCAAGAACATACTTAACTCAATTGCATATACTGAGCAAATGAGTCTTTTCTCCAAATCACTTACAGTTCAAACAAACATACTAGTAAACTATAATAGGTATAGTTTAGAGATCAGTCGTACTATTTTCTAGATCAGAGAAACAATACATGAATCAATACATACATACTGCTACATTTCAATAAAAAGTACACTAGTCATTTACAAGTACAAGAAGGAACTTACATATTATATGTAAACAAGTTAACTAGAATGTGAAACACTATTTCATGGAATGGCAATATTCTTGCTAAGTCATGTTTTGTAACCAGAGTCTCCTGGAGGTAGAGCGTGAGTTTGTGTATAGATCTATACGGGACTGACCATCCCACACCTTGCTGCTAGCTACAGTGGGACCTGCAGGTCTACGGGTGACAAATGTCATATCGTTTTCGACGCCTGAAGAACGTCGTGTTTTATACTAGTCAATCAAGCATGGTTATAACCTTAATCAAATTAAAACCTTAATTAACCAATTTTGTTACAAGGCAGTTAAGTCATCAGTAGTGTATTTTAAACAATACTACTGTAAATCTTCATTTTCCATTACATACATACAATGATATTCTCACATAAGCAATGCATACTATTTTTCTAGTAAAGATAGTTTACAATTATGAAAAACATACATTTTATACTATTTCATGTACAAACATACATTTATACTATTTGAAGAGAACAAAACATACAAACAGTTGGGTCTTGGGCATAAGACTACTTTTCATTTTAAGAAGAAAATATAGGATTTTCTGGGAAGTATACTAACATTTTCATGAAACAGATACAAACATTTGACACTAAAATACTTATGAACTCACCAACTTAAATGTTGATACTCTCTTTCAAAATAACTTGTATTATCAGGAACCAGTAGACAGGTACGCTAGCACAGGTTTTGAGAAGACGAAGTATGTTCAAGACTCGTCTTTACTTTTTGCTATACATTTTTGGTGTCATACAACTATACAAAGAACACACGTGTATTAACTATATTATTAATGCAATAGATGTTGTTGCTTGTTTTACTATTGTGCATTGTTATGATACTATACATGACGTCCTCCGCCCCCGAATGTTTCCGCCATCTCGGTTTGGAGGTGTGACATGTGATGGTTCACAGATGCACGTTTTTGTAAAGTCCCAAAAATGCCAATAAAAATTTCATTTTTAAAGCATAGAGTCATAGAAACATTGGTTCCAAATCCAATCAATATAAATTGTATTTTCAAACATCAGAGTATATCTACAACAATCAATCTAATGCATACTCAGTGAACACAAGTAATCATACAGATCTACCAATCTAACACATGCTCAATATAACAACAATCCAATATACCAAGATACAAAATCCAGTGGGTCGCCCTTGGTGCCTTCGAACCACAAGTACAGTGAGGAAAACTTACCTCTCGGTCTGAAAAGATAGTTGAACAGGATACTGCTTCGAATATCAGCTCTGCAAGTCACCTGAACACCAAATACTGACCAGTCTCAAGTACAACTCAAAATACCCGAAATACACCTAGGTCAAACTTGGTCAAAATCTTTGTCAAAATCAAAAGTCAGAGGAGTCAACCGAGTCAACTCAGCTGAGTATGTTGGGTATACTTAGCTTGTACACGGGGCGTACTAGAGCCTTGACAGATTGTGGGTTGTTGACCGCGTACACACAACGTACCATTTTGTACGCCCAATGTACGTGTCTGTCAACCACCTTCTCTAATAAGTACTTATTTCATTAAGCACTTCCGTCCAAAATCCAGATTTAGTCCTCAAATGATGTTCTTAATCATAAAGTTTCCAACTTTATGATCTTGCATGGCTATAAAGTGGCCAATACCCAAAACCCTAACTTCTTAACTCATTAAGACCTCATAGTCCATGCATGGAGATAAACTAATAACCAAGATTGTATTTTTATAACCTTAGACACTCCAAAACGTTTGGAAAGGCAATATATTTAATCTAGAGCATGCCATACTCAAGAACACCATTGTTTGGGGACAAAAGCACATACTAACATCATACAACCTAGATCTAACCAAATAAGCATCAAGGTATAAACTTTATACCTTCTGGAGATGGAGGAGGGTGCAAAACTTCTAGATCCAATGCTGCTCCAAGCTCCCAAGATGTTATTCTTTTCTTCTCCTTCCTATATGAACACCAAAACACACACACACACACTAATGGCTCAAGAATGCTCAAAAATGGATTAGGGTTTGCTAAGGTCGAATATGGATGTGGAGGCCGATGAATGAGGAGGGTTTAAAGAGTTAATGATGTTTAAATAGGGTCCAAAACCTAAAAATTAGGGTTTTGAGTCACTAACTCCGAAGTTACAATTTAAGTCCTTGAAGTATTGATCTCTTGCTACATTTGGAATGCATAATTCTACGCAAATTATATAAAAAAAAATTATTGAAGTAACTAATTATTTTTTAGATCTATAGGATGTATATTTTTTTTTCTCTTTCATCAAAAGATAATAACTTATTTTTTTATTTATATCATATTATCTTACAATCATCTTAACCATCTTTTATTAAAAAAAATAAAAAACAAAATAAAATGTTGAATCATTCAAGTCACATTTATTAAAATACAATATTATCCTAGATTGACAAAGATACTTTAATATTGTTTAGTATTAAATTTTTACAATTTTCTTATTTTATCAATCTATTTTCATTGTGTATCTTATAAACTCGTGGTTTGCATGAGTTTCTAATCTAGTGTTATAATGATCACCGTGTTATATGTAGATTGTTTGACATTTATAAGTCAAATTCTATATACGAAGTTCAAAGTTATCATATCATTAAAATTATGTTTTTAATCTTATATATATATTTTTTATATAAATTTTGTTTTTATTAATTTCAAGGTTTCTGACGCAGGACATGTGGCGATTTATATATTAGTTTATATTAATTTATTTAATTAAAACTAGACATATACTGATATTATGGAAAATCAAATAAATTTATCTTAATAAATAAAGATATTTTTGCCAAATAGCACATTCTCCTTAATCTTAACATGTAATTTTGTCATTAATTTAGAGTAATTTTGTTTCCACATGTTATTTTCTTATGTTATTTTCTTATTTTTTCCATGTTTATTTTATTACAACATCATTAAAGTAATTAAGCCATATTATTATAGCAATTAATTCCAATTGATTATAACCCATTGTTTACTATTATTTATTTAAATGTGTTATTAAATAAATACATGTTTGAATAATATAAAAATTAATTTGAGTTAATTGTATTCGAATACTTAATTTAGTTATAATTGTTTAATGATATAATTTATAAAAAGACTGTAAGCATATGACTATGAATGATTCAGCTTTAACTTGTAATTTAAAAAAATATAATTTATTCATTTTGATTATTTATAACGGCATTTTGTTTGAATCAATATAAATTAAACATTTATATAATGTTAGTTGTTTTACTTTAAAAAACTAAAGAATAACTACTTAATCAAGAAGCATTAGTATGAGAATGCGACTTTACTTTAAAAAGTAAAGAATAACTATTATAAAGATGTGGAAATAGAATCTTTTAAAGTGCAATATATTTATGGAGCTTTCCCTTAATATTCAAGTTGTTAAAATTTTTGAAAAATCTTGGTATATATGTTGATCTTTGAAGGCTTTTACCTATGTTTATGGCTTTTGGATGAGTGTTGGTGAATTCTAAAAATATCACGGGTCTTGGTGGTTGCTTTGTTATTAGACTTATTAATGTTTAAGTATTTTCTTGGGGCTAGGTTGTTGTACTTTTAGGCGCCAACATGGTACCTTGAATTCATCATAAGTTGCTTTAACAAGTGGTCACTCCATGAGTTTTACCTGCATAAATTTTGTCCGCTTTTGCTGCATTGTGTTGAAAGGTATAAAGGTCATTATGATTAAGTAATGACTTTTGAATATAAATTATTTTGTCAACCGTATTGATTGAATTACTTACTTATTCATCACTTTGTTTGTATATATTTCAAATTTTTACTTTAAAAAATGTTTAATGTTACACATTGATATTTAAAATTTTTAATCAACCCGTGTAGGACACGGGTCTTACACCTAATAAATAATAATATGTTTATTTAAATTTTTTAATCAATCCGTGTAGTACACAGGTCTTACACCTAGTAAATAATATGTTGATAAAATGGATAAAGAATAAATAAATTCGTGTTGCCACGTATGTAAACAGGGGCAATATTGTAATTTAAAAACCGGAGCCTTTACTACTGCACAGGAAAGCATGGGCCCAGAGTGAGATTTTCTAATCACTTAGCAGATTTTGAGAAAGGGGAAAAGATTTTAGGGCTAGCAAGAACCATCGCAAGAACATCACAAGGCACAAGCTCTACAACATTATTGCTTGAATGCAATTCTTCTTCTTCAGTATCTCCAGGTTTAAAATTCGAAGGTAAATCCCTCTCTTCAGCTCTCGCTCTGTTTAACGTACGAGAAAATCGACGAATATGTTATGTACAGTGCGGAATTGGTTCACTTCCTTTAAAACCCAGTTCGAACCCGATATTTGAACACCGTTTTCCGATTACCCATTTAATTTATCTGTTTTTGAGCTTTTACTCATTTGGAGTTATTGGGGATTTGCGAAAGAGCTGATATCGATTACAATTATTATGGCCGATGATTCTCTAGCTGAAATCACTGAACAATCGCTTGCTTCTTTAACAGACCATCAGCAACCACCACTTGAATTGGTAGATTCTATTGATTTATCAAATCATTTAGTTATAGGGCAAGAATTCCCAGATGTCGAAACTTGCAGAAGAGCTTTAAAAGACATCGCCATATCTTTACACTTCGATCTCCGTATAGTCAAATCCGACCGTAGCCGTTTCATTGCCAAATGCTCAAAAGAAGGTTGTCCATGGCGTGTACACGTCGCCAAATGCCCAAACGTCCCCACATTTTCAATTCGCACCCTCCATTGGGAACACACATGTGAAGGTGTCAGAAACCTCCATCACCAACAAGCTTCAGTCGGTTGGGTTGCAAGATCAGTTGAATCACGAATCAGAAATAATCCACAGTATAAACCAAAAGAAATCTTACAAGACATTCGCGATCAACATGGTGTTGCAGTGTCATATATGCAAGCTTGGAGGGGAAAAGAAAGAAGCATGGCTGCTTTACATGGAACTTTTGAAGAAGGGTATCGTCTTCTACCTTTATACTGTGAACACATCCGAAAAACAAACCCCGGAAGCATAGCCTCAGTTTTTTCAACCGGACAAGATAATTGCTTTCAACGCCTATTTATCTCCTATCGCGCATCAATAATTGGGTTTTTAAACTCATGTAGACCACTTCTAGAACTCGATAGAGCCCATTTGAAAGGAAAATACTTAGGTACACTTATATGCGCCTCTGCTATCGATGCAGATGACGGTTTATTTCCTTTAGCTTTTGCGGTTGTTGATGTCGAAAGCGATGAAAACTACATGTGGTTCATGTCAGAGCTCCGGAAGCTTCTAGGGGTAAACACTGACAATATGCCTCGCCTGACGATCTTATCAGAACGCCAGCGAGGCATGGTGGAGGCGGTCGAGACACATTTCCCGACCGCCTTCCACGGATTCTGCTTACGTTACGTAAGCGAAAACTTTCGCGACACGTTCAAAAATTCAAAACTAGTCAACATATTTTGGAGCGCGGTGTACGCGCTCACTCCCGTTGAATTCGAAAGCAAAATTTCCGAAATGTTGGAAGTTTCACAAGACGTGATTCTTTGGTTCCAAGATTTCCCGCCTCAGTTATGGGCGGTTGCGTACTTCGAGGGCGTCCGATATGGTCATTTCACATTGGGAGTCACCGAATTGTTGTACAATTGGGCTCTTGAAGGGCACGAACTCCCGATTGTTCAATTAATGGAACACATTCGTGTTCAATTAAGTTCGTGGTTTGAGAACCGAAGAAATATCGGGATTAGATGGAACTCGATTGTTGTTCCGTCTGCTGAACAGAAGATTCTAGAAGCAGTTTCTGATGCGCGTTGTTATCAAGTTTTGCGTGCAAATGAAGTGGAATTTGAAGTTGTGTCAACTGAAAGAACAAATATTGTGGATATAAGAAGTCGGGTGTGTTCTTGTAGGAGGTGGCAACTCTACGGGCTGCCCTGTGCACATGCGGCGGCTGCCCTGATTTCGAGCGGGAAAAACGCGCATGTTTTTGCGGATCATTGTTTTAAGGTTGAAAGTTATCGGGAGACGTATTCACAGATGATTTATCCAATACCGGATAAAAGTGTTTGGAAAGAGGTTTGTGATGAGGGCGATTTCGTAATTCTACCACCGAAGACACGGAGGCCGCCCGGGCGGCCGAAAAAGAAGGTGGTTCGTATAGAGAGTTTGAAGAGACCAAAGAGGATTGTTCAATGTGGTCGTTGTCATATGTTGGGACACTCTCAAAAGAAGTGTGCGATGCCAATTTGAGTTTGATAGTTTGTTTTTTATTTTTTGTTTTTCTTTTGTTGATGCTGTTTTGACAGTGGGCATAGAGTTGTGTATTTGTATGCTTAAAAAAGTTTCGTAATAATTCCGAATTTGCATTTATATGGCATGTGGAACAAGGTATAATAAGTATTATTATTCCGTTGGTATCATACTATAGGGAATTAAGTGGGGTATAGATTTAGACATTTAGTTGTTGGGTCTTTCAAGTCGATAAATTTAATTTTTAAGAAGATGTAACATTATGATGATTGATAACAGTTATAACACTAAGCAGGAATAAAGGATTTGCAAAACAAAATACAATGAGAATTCACCAACTCTAAAACCAGATAAATTAATACCAAGCTTTGACTAGCGAAAATAAAATAGGAAAAAAAAACATGTTTTGATTCTATGAACAAGTTTTACAAACTCAAGCAACTAGTACTCCCTTTTGAAGAAAAAAACTTTACTATGAGTCTAAGCAAAACCATGATAGTACTTGAGACATGGACAACATGTTAAAGGTCATCATTGACATTTGTTCTCGACTTCCCACTTCACATAATTAAGTACTCCATCATAGTTCACATAATTAAGTACGGGTACTAATGTAAGAACCATCAAATTGCCACAAATCAATGGGCCTAAAATATAAGTGAAAAATTAATCTAGATGTTAGAGCAAGAAGTCACATGCAATGCACATCCATATAATGTCTATCATCAAGTGGAAGGATGTGCCAAAAAGATGTTGAAAACTCTGAAAGTAGTCTATGATGGATTTTATGAGGTAAAGGCTAATCATGAAAAGAATCTAAATGGATTTTGTTGTTATTATTTTAAATAAATGTAATTGTTTTGCTATTTTTTGGAGGAAAAAAAAAGATTAAATATGTTGTTTTATTTGGTTAAGAGTAAGTAAGTTGTTATTATTGGTAAATACATGTAAGTATGTTGCTGTTTTTGGCAATTAGAGTATGTATTCTCAATTCTGACACTTTTCAGACAACATTTTAGGAGTTTTGGCTCCATCTTAATACTTTTTTAAAACCTTTGTTTTTTTACATTCTCAAAATTGACGACATGCCATCTTACATAGAATCCGTATCAGTTCGATAACCGTAATCTCGATTTTTAGAGGAGTAAATAAATGCACAATCCATCAAAGGGCTTCTAGCCTAACGATACCAGATGTTGCCCTTCCTTCTCGAGGTCGAGTGTTCAAGTCTGGTGTTAGACATAGGTCAAATTAGGAGTAGTTTAAGCAGGTAAAATGAGGAGTAGTTGGACATAGGTAAAATCAGAAGTAGTTTAGAAATATGTTAGATTTGCCGTTACAAAAATAATAAAATAAAATAAAAATAAAATAAATGCACAACCCTTTATTGCCGCTAATCGTTGGAAGCCCGTGGTTTGATATTATTAGAAGTTATAGAGAATTATTGATTATGTAAATTTATTATTTAAAAAGGACAAAATTACAAAAATGGTCCCTGTGGTTTGCCAAAAGTAACAAACTTAGTCCCTATCTATTTTTTTTTGATTCGTTTGGCCCTTGTGGTTTGTAAAAGTTGCATTGGAGGTCCTTTTTCATAACTTCGTCTGTTTGTAACCGTTTGGGGTCATCCATGTGGGGGTATATTCGTCTTTTTATGTTTGGCGCTCATTTAAGATGGATTAGGCAGTGATACGTCATTAAGCTATCCTCTGATTAACCAGAGTCCAAGAAACCCCCCTTCATCTCCACTTCACTTTAGCTTACTGATCATCTTGACGATCTTCATCCTTCATCCCTCGCATCCGATTTTAGGGTTTATCAACTAAAAATGGTACTGTGTATGTGGAATTTATGTGGTCCTCATACGATTGCACCCGACCTTGATAAAGATTACAGTGAGTTATTTAATCTTTTGTTTGGTGTTTCTTGGTTTGTATATTCAAAGCTCATCGATTTTTCTTTTTTCAGATGGTCACGACAATTTCTTCACTTTAAAGATACATCATGGTGGATTTTTTACAAAGTTCCCTGGTAGAAAGTACGCCGAGGGAAGGTTGGCATTCTTTGACTTAGTTGACACTGATCTTTTTTCAGTTCATGATCTAAATGACATGATTCATGAGATAGGGTATTCTAAGGATGACACAATGTACTATCATTATAGAATTCCTAATGTAGACTTAGATTTTGGATTGAAGGCTTTAGGAAATGATCAAGACGTTATATATATGGCTCAATATGTCCCTCAAAACAGAGTGATTAATGTGTACGTTGAACATGGTTCTACAAGACTTCACACTTACTTCATGTCCCCAAGTAAAGTTGTTATCGAGCAACTAGATGATGATCCTTCTCCTGAACTTAATAGGATTAGGCCCAAGAAGAAAGGAATCGGTTCTTGTAGCAAGAAATTAGACATGAATGTCCCACTTAAAGAATCAGCTAATCAAGAACAAATAGAAGATGGTGTGTATGATTTTTCCATGTCCCTAGTTCCTTTTGAGCCAAACAAACAAGATGTGGTTAATGAGTTTAAGGATGATTTGTATTTCCCTGTACCAAAAGAAACTGATACAATGCAAGAAATTACAGTTGATATTAATTGCTAGGACCATAGGGAAATACTAGATGATTTTGAGCCTTTTAGTAGTGATGGATATCAGAATATAGGTGAGTTTGAAAGAGGGGTTGAAGTTGAAGAAGAACAGGATGAAGAAGATGAACAAGGGCATGCAGAGGATTCAAAAGACGATCCAGAAGAGCATACAGAAGAAGAGGATGATTCTGACTACATTGTTGACCCAGAAGCTATTTTAGATGACTGGGAGGTTGATATGAGAGAGTTTAACAGTTGTGTGGATGAGGTTGAATGGTTTGGACAAGGACCAAACATAGAATTAGATTTAAATAAAGATGATGATTTAGGTGTGATCAACAATGATGAGTTTGAAAGTGCAGGATATGAGGAAGACCTAAGGAAGAGAATGTTAAAAAACCTGAACAAGAAGGTGCCTTGTTCTTCTGGGGTAGTTCATGTTACACCATTTTTTGTGGGTCAAGGTTTTAAAACCAAAAAGGATATACAGGGTCACATGAAGATGCTTCAATAAAAACAAGGAGGGCCCTACACATGGCCAAAAATGAAAAATTGAGAGTAAGAGTAAAATGTAAAGGGGTGGTTCCAGATTCCACTGGTGGTGGGCCCTCCACTGTAAGTAAAGTAACATCGAAGGGCAAAAACTGTAATTTCACAAAAAGATTCTTGTCCTTTTGCTATTCAGATATCTAGATCTACAGAAGAGGAACAATGGTTGGTGAAGACAGTTATTGATGAGCATTTATGCTTACAAAGTAGAAATGTGAAGGCATGTACATCTAGATACCTGGCAAGCACTATTCTCCAAAAAGTGGATTCCGACCCTCGCATCCCAGTAACAGCCTTACAGGAGGAGCTTCAAATGGATTTGGAATTAAGCATATCAAGAATGAAGGTGTTCAGGGCTAAATCAATTGCAAAGGAACAACTGTATGGTGACTACGAAAGGCAATATAATTTGCTGAGAGATTACTGTTTGGAGTTACAGACCAATAACCCAGGTACAACAGTGAAGCTGGAAGTGTGTAATGAACCAAATCCTGATGTTGAAACTCGTATTTTCAGGAGGATATACATTTGTCTTGGAGCACTTAAGTTGGGGTTCAAATCTGGAAAAATGGAATTACTGGGATTGGATGGATGTTTCTTGAAAGGACCACACCCTGGACAAATTCTAACAGTTGTGGGTCTTGATTCCAACAATGGAAAATATCCACTAGCTTATGCAGTTGTGGAAGCTGAGACAACAAGCTCATGGACATGGCTCTTGGAATGCCTTGGTGGTGATTTGGATTTGGATGCATCATGCAACTTCACTTTTGTATCCGACAGACAAAAGGTATGAATACATATAACATAAGTCTCTTTTAAAGCTTGTAATAATACTAACTATAAATTACATTATATGTAGGGAATAATACCTGCAATAGCAAAAGTGTTTCCAAATGCAGAGCATAGATGGTGTTTGAGACATATACATGAAAACATGAAGCTGCAATGGAGGGGAGAAGAGTTTAGAGATCACTTGTGGAGGTGTGCTACCACAATACAGAATACCATTAAACTGATTAACCAAAACCATACATTACATTAAGATTCTAATACATGACATCCCATCCCAAAATCAACTGGTAATATCCCATTCTAGTTCTATACACCCATCCGACATTACATATCCAAAATACATCCCAAAATACACTTACCAAATACATCCCCAAATCCAACTACTACTTAGTGCATACATATATAAACGAAAAAAAAGAACCAAGACAGAAGAAGCATCCACTTTAGCTTCACAACATCTGCACGAGCTTGAATCAACATCATTTGAACATTGTTCAGTTTCCTTAGCAAGCCAGGAATCACCTCCACAGCTCTATGGCACATCGGATCGTCCACCCACCCAAGAAATGGACAACTTCGACCGTTTCGAGCACAAGACCAGAATCGCCTTCCTGGGTTGAGGTCTGTCCGAGATGTGACTCTCACAGCAACACTTCCACACGTACAAATCACCATTCTTGGAAGAGAGGAGAGCTTCGATTTTTTAGAGATGGTAGCTTGATTTTTCTGAACGTTGGCTAGGGCTTTTTAAAGGGGGTGGAGAAGGTAATGTGAAAATACCAAAATACCCCCATATTTTTTTAACTTAATCACCCAAACGGCTACAAACAGACGAAGTTATGAAAAAGGACCTCCAATGCAACTTTTACAAACCACAAGGGCCAAACGAATAAAAAAAATAGATAGACTAAGTTTGTTACTTTTGGCAAACCACATGGACCATTTTTGTAATTTTGTCTTTAAAAAGTGTTGAAAGATACGTTTCGGGAGTCCGCACACCTACTTTGACTTTATTATAATCCGTTTTTGGTCCTTGTAGTTTGTATTGTTTATTACTTTA